TGTCATCTAAATAGTGCGTTCATGCGTGGTATCCTTTGTTTGTCTGTCCTGAAAGGTTACTGAGAGCGGGCCAATCGTTAATGGTCACGAACAGCAACGCCTTAAGGTTAGATTCCTCATGTCTGTGCTCATCCCACGTACGTACACCGTTTCCATTCCACACCTGTAAAAGTTCTTCAACTAATGGCCTTAGGTACACATCTATGTCGTTGCCGGGTTGCTTAGGGCCTTGGATGAGAACTGGCATCATAATAAACTTACGCTTCATGCACATCCAAGGAGGAAGGTTATACATACATAGAGTCACGGGCCAGGTGCTGTGATTGCTGCTCTGCTCCCCGAAAGGATTAATGCCATCCGCGCTTAAAGCAAACCATACATTCCTTGGGTCCTTTGCAAATGCATCCCAGTACTTTCTCTCGATTTTTCTCCACTGCGACCCGTCAGCGGGTGCTCTCAACTTCCCATCTTTCTTTCGGTTCTCACTATGCCATCGCATCAACTTGACATGCTCTTCGTTTCTGAACAGACGTTTCAACCATGGTATTATAGAAGCATACCACATCAACTTCACAGGAACCCTCTTCCTGGGGGGCTCGCCGTCAACATCACCAGGGTCATCTCGTCTGATCTTATACCGTAATGCACCGCATACCGGGCATGCGTTCAGATCCTTGTATGCACCGCGGTAGAGGATGCAATCATTAGGGCATGCATGTATCTTCTCCACCTCCAATCCTAGAGGGCATACGACCTTCTTTGTTGCGTCTGTACTGTCGGGCAATTCGTTATCCTTTGGAAGCTTCTTCTTCAATATTTTCAGTAGCTTCTCAAATCCTTTGTCAGCCACAACATTCTCTACCTTCCACTGCAGCAATTCCAGTACGGTACCGAGCTTTGTGTTGCCATCTTCGCAATTGGGGTATAACCCTTTTTTGTGATCCTCTAACATGCGATCGAACTTCAGCTTCTCCTTTTGACTTTCGCATTGCGTCCTTGCATCGACAATGACCCGGCGGAGATCATCATCATCGGGCACATCGTCTGGTTCCTCTTGATCTTCAGCAGCTTCACCCGTTGCAGCATCATTGGGCACATCGTCTGGTTCCTCTTGATTTTCACCAGCTCCCCCCGTTGCAGCATCGCCGTATTCAGGGGGCACATAGTTGTCATCGTACTCTTCTTCTTCGCCGTCTTCCATCATAACCCCTATTTCTCCGTGCCTCGTCCAAACATTATAGTGTGGCATGAAACCCTTGTAAAGTAGGTGGGAGTGAAGGATTTTCCGGTTAGAGTAAGACCTCTTATTCCCATATTCAGTGCATGGACAACACATAAAACCATTCTGCCTGTTTGCCTCAGCCGCATCGAGAAACTCATGCACGCCCTTAATGTACTCGCAGGTGTGTCTGTCACCATACATCCATTGCCGGTTCATCTGCGTGCATTATATATAATTAAGTGTCCAAATTAACAGAAGTTCATCATCACATTAAAACCAAAGTGCGTACATAGTTCTCATCTAACAACATATAGCTCTCCAGAGCATCTAATTAATTAAACCATACATTGAAACTATGTAAAACATTTCAATGCGAAAACAAATGCGATCATAATCGCAACCAAGGTAACAATTGATCCAACTATATAATGATACCAAGCCTCGGTATGAATGGCATATTTTCTAATCTTTCTAATCTTCAAGCGCATTGCATCCATCTTGATCTTGTGATTATCGACGACATACACAACATGCAACTCCAATATCATCTTCTCCTCCTCAATTTTTTTTATTTTTTCCTTCAACAAATTGTTTTCTTTTTCAACTAAATTTAACCTCTCGACAATAGGGTCGGTTGGCATTTCCGATTCACATACATCCTACATAAATAAAATATATGTCACGTTGGTCGGCATAATTTTCATAAACAATAAATGAACCAATAGTTATAAATATAATATATATACCACATCCGAATCATAGACAGGACAAGGGCCGACGGGGGCGGATACCAAAACCATCGCACTATATAAGATGCAATAATAAAAGTAAGAAAATAATACAAGTATCTATGTAAACATACAAGTAAGAATATTTTTCCTTTCAGAAAGAAGATAAGAACAAGAGGCTCACCACGGTGGTGCCGGCGATGAGCTCGGCGCAGGTGATCGACGGCGGTGAAGACGGGGACGGGGCGCAACGGACCGCTAAACCTAGACAAATATTATGGAAAATGGAGCTTGGAGGTCGAGCTTGGAGAGGAGAAAGCTTAAGTAGTGTGGCTCGAGCATTCCATCGAACACCTTGCGTGCATAGGAGGTGAACTAGAGCACCACCAAGCCCTCTCCCCCTCGGCCAGAGAAAAACAGAGCACTGGGGTGCTCTGCTCGCGAGCGAGGGGTATATATAGGCACCTCATTGGTCCCGGTTGGTGACATGAACCGGGACTAAAGGAGAGCCTTTGGTCCCGGTTCAAGCCACCAACCGGGACCAATGGTGGTGGGTCAGGAGCGAGGCCCATTGGTCCCGGTTCATCCCACCAACCGGGACCAATGACCCACGTGGCCCGGCCGGCCCCCTGGGCTCACGAACCGGGACCAATGCCCCCATTGGTCCCGGTTCTGGACTGAACCGGGACTAATGAGCTGACCTGGCCTGCACCAAAGCCCTGTTTTCTACTAGTGTTCTATCTCAATATCTCTAGTATTGAAACTGAAAAGACGAGTTAATTTCTTACCTATAATGCTATGTTGTGCAAATAGTCATAGGCTATATCTAGCACTTGCGGTTGCGAGTTCGACACACCTAGTATGTGGCCATTGGTGAGCTCAGATACGATGCACAAACAGCTTCAGCTGTAGAGGTAGTTTTTCATTAACTTCTTTGTCTCAAAGTGCCATGGCAGATGCAGTTGTTTGGTTCTGTTGCTTTCATTTTTCAGGAGTTGCAGAGGTGCTTATCATCTCTTTTCAAGGGACTATCGGTTCCTTCACAAAAGGAAGACTATAAATTACCTTCTTATATCAGCAGGGTTATGTTCGGTTCAAACTGCTGCATGTTTGGTAGCTCTGATGCTACCAGGACATGGCCATCCATGTTGCTTTATTCTATTTTCGGTGATGCTCATGGATTTTCGACAGCCTTGCTCCTAGTCCTTGGGGAGCAAAATAGGTTTTGGTTCATGATAGAACTGAAAACAATGAGGTGGTGAGACATGAAGCGAGGCTTGCAGCACAAGGGTTCATGCAAAGACCCGACAATAATTGGATGTTATTAGCAAAATAAGGTTTCGATATTTGATATCGATGGCTGTGAATAACGAATGTGTCTCAAACTGTTGTATCTCGTGACAGCATAATTGTATATGGGTGTCTTGATAGGGATGTGTGTATGGAAATTCATGAGGGGATGGAGATTACAAAATTAACCACAACATGTATTGCGTAAAGCTGCAAGAGTCAAATTCTGGCTTGAAGTAGTCAGGAAGGATGTGGTATGGTAGTGAATTCTTTTATTAGAAGATTACACAAAGAATGATTCTTTTAAATGGTTGAAACCCCAGGCTTTTGCGTCATTGTGATGCACACAACCATTGTTATTAATTATGATGATTGCTGATTTTTATCAAGAAATCCAGAGATGAAATTTGTATCACTTCTATGTATGTTGATGAAAATGTATGTAGACATGTTATATGGACAAATAATTTTTATCCTCCTTATATCACAAAGTTTATTGCTCCAGAAATATTTTAGCACATTGAGTTGCAGAAAAATAGGGAGACAAATAATTTTTCAAAGGAAGTCCTGCAATAATCTCGGTGATTTCTTTACAAAGTCCTTACCAATTTGTTTATTCTAGAACTTGTTAATGGAATTGGTAACAAAAGAATTCGTGATTTGCAAGAACCAAGGATGATAACCTATTCGAGATCCTAGAATCTTTGATATTGCACTCTTTTCCTTTATATTGTTTTCTGAATGGTTTCTCAAAGAAGGTTTTTCAAGAAACAATAGTAATACAAGTATTATGATATGTCGTTTTCTCCTTATATTCCCACTTGGTTTTTGGAAGGAGTTTTTCATGGCCAGTTATGTATATCTCCTCACATATTTTCCCTGCATGGTTCTTGGAGGAGACTTTATACAAGATGATGTATGACAACAAGGATAAGAGGTGATTAGGGCAAGTGTTGAGAGTAAATTAATATGTGGTTAGTTGGGTTTACTTATTGCCGTAAGGTCCCCTCCCCCTCTCTTCTTCTTGGAACAGCCCCTCTGGGGATTGCACAAATATGTGAACATCATGAATGAGAACGACACATAGCTCAGTACTATTCATTCTAGCAATTAACTCTTTGCAATAATTTAAAAAATAAAGGTTTAAAAGGGAATATATAAAATTCATTTTTAATTAACTATTAAAATGAAGGAAGGATACAAGAGGAACAATTGAACTGCATGCGCTCCAAACGAAGTCGAAATAGCAATTCAAACCAAAAAGCAATGCACTATATTGCGATGAGTTTATGGGTGTGACGGTAGGAGATGAAACCAGAATCACTGCATGGAAGTGCAATCGGATGGAGTAGGTTGGGTCGCACTTTGGATCCGTGCAGTGAACTTGTGGCATAATTCCCGATTTTAAATGTGAGCTTGTGACGGGAACAAAGTCAGTTCCTGGAGCTCCTTATCCCCAACACTAATTCATCTCCTGTATCACCATCCATCACAAATTCACAATGCATGACAAAGAGGGACTTTGTTGTTTATTACCAACAAAGGCACCTTTGCGTCCCACCACTACCATGTTAAGAACAAGAAACAAAAGAACCAACGAAAAAAGAAGCAGCTTCTCCATTTCTCCAAGGGACTATAGAGCAACTCCTAGTGCATTGAAAGCCATGTGTACGTCCAGCTTCTACAACTCCAATCCTTCATCTTATTTTCCATCTCTAGTCATTTCAAGTATGTATAGATACTCACACCAACCACCAACACTAAGTCCAGATAGCAAGGGATGCCATGGCTATGGCCCCAAGAAACAGGGAGACATATGCACCAACCTGCAAGATGGTAGGGTTGTTGCTCATCCTCCGACCAAGAAAATCAGCCGCGATGAGATCCACCAGTGCCATATAGATCAGTACACCAGCCGACATGGCATTAAGAATACCCTCCACCACCAAAGCACGGGGGCTGTACGGGTTGTAGAATGATGCCATGGCGGAGCCTGCAGCGATCCCGGCGGGTGTTGTGATGGCAAAGAAGAACGCCATCAAAAGCATAGAGACATCCTTCAGCTGAGCCTGCGTAGATTTGTTTCATGACATACCTTGCTTAAAGTGAGGAACTATTATATTTAGCACATATGTAATGTAGAGCTCTTTTACGGTGGTTGTAGAGTTACGACTTGTAATTTCATGTAACTCCCCTCCAGAATATTTTGGACCGTCGGATTTATAACAATAATTTATAACGAGTGTTTTGCAGAGAAACCCTTGATTATTTTGATAATCAACCCGCAGTATATGCATAATAAACGTTTCGCTCTCCTGTTTCGTACGTCACCCTTCGCCGGCTGCAGGAGTTGTTTCGTCCCGATTCCCCTCCTCCTGACCCCACGAACCCTAGCTGCTGCACCAACGCAAGCCCGCCGCCGCTTCAACGTCGCCCCGCAGCCGACCGGCACGTCGCTTTCCTGTGCCCTCGCACCGGTCCTGCTCCACCCTCTCGCCTCCCTCCGCTCTAGGTCCGTCTTGCGCCGCCAGAAGCAACTCCCGGTCTCCAGCCGTTGACCTCGCCTCGCTCCTCTCCGGTCGTCGTTGCTGTCAAGGAAGTATCCGGCGGAACGCAGCGAACCCCGACCTCCTCCACAACAGCCGACGCCCCTCCCTCTAGCGAGTTCACCCTGTCGTCGCCTGCTGCAGAAGCGGGACGAGCCTCCCAAACGCAGCGAGCTCCTTGCGTATGGTCAGATTGCTGCCTCCTTCTCTGGCCCACCCATCCCTAGCTCAAGAACTTATATGTCAGTTAATATATGATACCCTTGTGGCAGTTTGCATTTTATACTGTGCTTCGTATTGCAGCTACAAGCATGCAGAGGATTATCAAGAATGATTTATAGCTGCTTATGAAAGCTGCGGACATGATTCGTCACATTGCATTAGAATTAGAAGTTTACTTTGCTATGTTCTTTGGTGCAGCACAACTAGGTGCAGTTTGTTTCTTATGTGGAGTTCGCTGGATCAAACTTCATATTCTACGTTGCTCTATCTTTTGCTGCACCTCAGATGCCCTTTATGCTTTCAGTATGATCTTGTGTGCAGTTAGGTGGTTCAAAGATTGAACTTCAGTATCCATGCGATATGTACGGATGTGAATACATGACCGTGATACATGACCGTACGAGCTTCGATCTGTTTTGTTACGTCCAGCGGCTCGACGCAGAAGGGCGCCTCTTCACCGATGATTGCTGGCGGCTGTAGCGAAGTGCTGTTTCCTGGCGCCGAAGTCCAGAGCTAGCGTCTTCAGAGACAGTGGCCGTCGTCTCGGTTCTGTCTTCCAAGCTGAACGTCCTCAGATTTTCTCCATGTTGTAGCCCTGAAAACTAGTCAAAAGGAGTTGGGTCTGTGGCATTCGTTGAATGTTTCGCTAATGCTTTGCAGTTGAGAATGTTTCGATGGTGTCTTCATCGCCTCAGAAATTTTGATTATTTTTATTTAACCAAGTTAAGTTAAAAATAAATACCCATTGTTTATATGAAAAAAGGTTGGGCCTGGGACTCGAACGCAGGACCTTTGGTGATTGCCCTAGCGCTCAACTATGTGCGCGGAGCACAAGCAAAAATTACACTCAAGATAAATAGATGGCGGGCGTTCCTAGCAGGCCAACTAATCCTAAACGTTGATGCTTCATAGTAGTTCATCACATACTACAAATACTACATGATCAAACACTAATTCATTACAAACACTAGTTCATGTTACATACTACATTCACTACTAGTACTAAGGGGGGTGGGGATCTCACGGCGGCGAGCTGGCGGCCATGGACGACGCGGTGGAGGAGCTCAATCCTCGTCGGAGCTGCCAAGGTCGATATACTTCTCCCTCTGCTTCTCGCAGATGCGCCGCCACTCGTCGTCCTTCTCCTTGGCGGCAAGGTTCGCCCGACCGTCTGCTAGAGCATGAGGGCTTCGGGTTCCTCGTCATGGCGCCGGCGCTCTGCCTCCTCGCGCAAGCTGCGTTCGGCAATGGCGGCCGCGACCGCGTCGACATCGGCGACGAAGTCCTCGGGCCCGACGACGCTGTGGCGCATGATTTCCTCGGGCTCCTCCAGCTCCTCTGACCACTCCGTCTTCACGGGGATAAGCCTCTCGCCGGAAGAGGAAGAGCTTGCTGCGCGGGTGAGCCACGCGGCAGATCTCGATATTGCAGCAGAGGAGCCCGCGGCGGAGGACCCCGCGGCCGGCTGACAGTCGTACTCCTCTGTCTCGCGACGGAGGAACCTCGGCGGCGGTGAGAGGCCCCAGTTCGTCCACTTCTTGCCCCGCGCTTCCTCGCGCCGTCCGAGCGGACACGACGCTCGCGCTCGGGGTCGTGACAATCGCCGGAGCTGTGGCCGAAGCTCCACATGGCATTTCGAGGCGTGTTCGGGCTCGCCGGCGACGAGAAATGCGAGGGGGCAGTGGGGAATTGCTGTGGAACGCGGCGGCGGAGGTATAGGGTTTCGACCCATATCTCCCCGCAAACCCATAGATATACCGCTTCTGCTGGGCGGTTTGTGGGCCGCGGTAAATTTTTTTACGGGCCGGACGAGTATACGGGCTCTGTTCTGACCAAAAAATTGGGCCGAGCCTGTATACTCGCCAGACTTATGCGGGTTTACGAGATTTACAGGGTCTACTAGAGATGCTCTAAGACTGATAACCTTATGTATGGAATGAAAAGAAAAGAAGAAACGTACACCTGGTTAATTTTTTATACCGCTTAATTGTCCATGAACTTGAATCAGTTGAGTTGGATACTTGAGTGCACATGGAAGAAGCAAGTACTGAAGATCCAGTGCAACGACTTCTGGAGATCGATTCAGCTGGATACTCCAGTGCACAAGTATACTTGAGTGAATTTATATCCGTTGAATTGTTATAAAGAAGTATTCTCCACAATCGTAGTATTTCAGCTACTATAGAAATTCACAAGCGAAAGAACCCCAAACAGTAACATTAAACAACTTATAATTTGCTGGGTGAATGACAAGATCAAGATGGTAATGGAACTGGGCAAAATATTCTCACTCTCATGAGTGCAACATTACATAGTATTTCAGTTCTGAAAGTAACTCTCTCTATACTATGCCTATTCCTTGAGTTCTTCTGTGCATATTGGTTCACTATCTCATCTTCTTGGCTGCTCTGAAGCTCGATCGTTTTGAAGCAGAGAACAAACGAGGAATCCCCATTAAACATGGTCACGAATTCACCAAACACTAGTAGAAAAAGGGTCAAATGTGAAGCACATTAGTGCCGGTTTGAATTAAAGTCGGCACTAATGTGTACATTAGTGCCGGTTCGTGGCGGCGATCAATAGTACCGGTTCGTGGCGAACCTTTAGTACCGGTTCATGCCACGAACCGGTACTAAAGAGGTTGTGTCAGCCTGCGGTCAGGCTATGGCCCCACCATCACCATTTAGTGCCGGTTCATACCACGAACCGGTACTAATGAGGTTATGGCAAGCTGTTTTTAGTCCCACCTCGCCAAGAGAGAGGCAGTATGAGCGGTTTATAAGCCGTGAGTGCACAGACAATGACGAAGAGTTGCAATGCTCACCTACATGTTGATTAGCTTCAAGCCTTGCGGAATAGCATAGATTGCACTGAGCTATGTGCAGTGGCTTAGTGCAATCTATACTATTCCAAATGGCTTGAAGCAAATTAACCAGCATTGCACCTCTTTTTTATTTTTAATAACTTATTTAAACTCCGGACTTCTTTTGTGTTCAGTATGCAGCATTTAAAGCGACGTCATCAATTTCCAACATGTTCTGACATCATTTGTTGTTTTTCGGTCATTTACATAATTGTTTAGAGAGCTAAATGACCGTGAAATTGAAAATCACTACAAAATGAATCTTGAAAATGTTGAAACTTGGCATGGTATCATCATATCACCCGCATAGCATGCGCGAAAGAGTAGAGGGTCACGGAAAAAACTGGACGCACTTCGTGTACAAACTGGACATACTCTTTCCGAGTATCAGGGTTTCGGACGAGAACTCATCTGTTACATGGTCACTTCAATATTTTTTAAACTTATTTGAACTCCGGACTTCTTTTGTGTTTAGTATGCAGCATTTAAAGCGACGTCATCAATTTCCAACATGTTCTGACATCATTTGTTGTTTTTCGATCATTTACCTAATTGTTTAGAGAGCTAAATGATCGTGAAATTGAAAATCACTACAAAATGAATCCTGAAAATGTTGAAACTTGGCATGATATCATCATATCACCTGCATAGCATGCGCGAAAGAGTAGAGAGGGTCACGGCAAAAATTGGACGCACTTCGTGTACAAACTGGACAAACTCTTTCCGAGTATCAGGGTTTCGGAGTCCGGAATGGGTACTAATGTGCATCCCACCAATCAGGAAGAATCACACGGACCCTGTGTTTCTTTCTAGCTCTTGCGAGTCGTTGGATCAAGGGTGTGTTTCTTCCTAGCTCATGTGAGTCGTTGGATCGAAACTACCACAATCACTTTGTGAGCCAGAAGACCCTATATATAGCCCACCTCTCGCCTTCCCTGCATAAGTCTTTCAGTTCATCGACTACATACATCTATCAGTTCATCGACTGCATACATCTACTAGTTCATCGACTGAATACAAATCATTCGGATTCGCCATCATACGTCCAACCGTGCATTTGATATGCATATATATGCATCACGAGCCACGGTTGGGCTGTATGATGGCGATACCGATTGGTTTGTTCTAGATCCGACATAAAAGGTTTGATACAACTTCTTTTTTGTGACATAAGAGCTATCTCTCCTCCTACCTATTTTAGTTACACAACTACCTATTTGTGTCAAATTTTCACTTTTGCTGTTGCTCTTGCATCATAAGCATCCATGTTAACTGGACTTACAAGTAATGCAATTTAACCAAACTATCTTGTGATCTTCACCAGGAGAGAGGCAGTATGAGTGGTTTATAAGTCGTGAGTACATAGCATTCCGAAAGGCTTGAAGCAAATTAACCAGCATTGCACCTCTTTTTTATTTTTAATAACTTATTTAAACTC